TTATTTATTTATTTATTTATTTATTTATTTATTTATTTATTTATTTATTTATTTATTTACTATCGGAAAGCGGCAGAAGTTCTGCCCTTCTCTGGTTTCTTCTTTCTCTCTCCCTTCGTCACCCTTTCTCTCCCCCTCCCTCTCATCGTTCCCCGCTCCCCTCCACCGAACAAAAATGTAATATAATGTTCAGAATAAAGTGTTCTCATCCTCTAGATTACGACGTGAGAAACGTTTCTTTGAGGCCTTGGACCTCAAAATTTTAGTTTTTTGTTCCCTAGAGCACTTCGTTTAGAGTTATTTAACGACATAGATTTTAAAAAATTCCTGTCTGTATTGAGGGTTGCTTTTGCCATTAATATTTAGTTCTACTACTCCATCTATTGTTTTCTTGACATGTTAATTGTTATTCTGCTATTCGGGCCGGAGGCGAATCCAACTAATCAGAGATAATTAAAATTCGTCCAGCAGTTCTTGAGCTATTAATGCTGTAACTAACCGGACTTCGTTTTATACATCAATGTTTATGTCCCTCGGGAGACTCATGGTCCGATTGCTACGTTTTCGGGGGATGAACCTGGGTTCAATTCTCGGTCGAGGCAAAAATAGACCTGTAGTTTTCCATTACAATCGTCTCAGTTTCTGAAGCTGTGTGACAAAAGGACAAGTTCAGGCAGGCAAAATAAGCTAGATGCGAAGAAAGAAATACGCCAGGCACACCACGTCGTTTTCGTTCCCAGGATGTATAATAATTAAAAGCAGGGTCGAGTCCTTGGAATACATTGCTGGTAAAAATCGAATTAGTACGACCCTAAAATGCCAAATATATGTGCATACATTTATTTATTTTTTACTAGCGGAACCCGGCAGACGTCCTGCTCTGTAACTCCCTCCCCCTCCCTCTTTCGCCTTCCACCTCTCTTTTTCTCACCGTCTCTCTCCTTCTCTCTGGGTCAGTATCTGTCTATCTCTATCTGTCCCTGTCTGTCTCCCTCTGACCCTGTCTCTATCTCTCTCTGTCCATGTCTCTATGACTGTCCCTGTCTCTCTGACTTTTTCTCTCGGTCCGTATCTCTCTGATCCGTGTCTCTTTGAACAAAATGAGATCTGCACCATTCTCTTCAGCTTTTATTATGCTATAAAATTCAATAATAAGTTCAATAAAAAATTAAGCCATTTTTGAGAAAATTTTGAAAATGTAGCGCTTTATACATAGAAGCCACAATCATCAAAATACCCGTTTCAAGCTCAGATAACTTCGAGTACATTTAATGCTATGGAGAAATTTCAATTTTGTAAAATATTGACCGACCAGTTTAGGCACTCGCGTTGATCGCAGACGGACGGAAAGACAGTTCTATGTTTTTCTGTCAATCGATTTTTCCGTATCAATAACACACATGGATTCTCATTACGCAGGAGTAGAGGAAGAAACCAAAATAGTACGCTCACTGACGAGACAAGGATCCTCTGCGTACTTCTTTTTCTCGTCCTTGCCACGTCCTTTCTCGTACGCGTACATACGCACTCGCTACACCGAAACACACACACACACACACACACACACACTTGCACTTTTCGTACCAGCGCCACAGTTGTCGGAAGACCAATATGGAACTTAGAACTTGTCTAACGTGATTCGGTGTGATTTGGTCGCCACTTCCCGGCTATAGTGAACTTATCTCACTAGACTGAGTAGTTGACGAACCCGTTTATTTGTATTATTTGACAGAAAACATGTTCAAGCCATTTTAGTCTTTCCTTAGCGAATGAAGGCTCACGCATCTCTTCTGAAGTGTTATTTCACTTTTCCCCCTCTATTATGCGGGGTTCATTGTTGAAATGGTTTCTATTCCGGTATAACTTGTTCGGAAGACACCATAGAAATGATCACATTTACAAACGGAACATTCTCCGTGATGCTAAGCAAGAGTTGAAAATCAGTGACTGTCATTTAGAACTGAAGATATTCGTATGATTTACAACTTTTTCTGGAATCTCTTCGGAACTTGTTGCTATATCTGGACGGTTGCAAGTGAATCCAACTGATAGCAATGCACATTTTTCGTAATTCATTTTTGATGCATGATTCACGTCATTTCTGTCATTTTGCACTGCTCAGTTGGAATAATAAACCAAATTATCATTCATTTTCTGTAAAGTTAAAAACCCTTGAATTTCACATGAATGAATGTTGCTAAAAAATCGGGGCGCTAATAGCGTAAGATGATTTTTTTTCTCTTACCCAGGAATATTCAGTGCTTGAAGTAAATACTAGGACGCGCCAGAGGATAAAACAACGAGTTGCTCTCGACTGCAATGACTTGTCTAACCTGACGGTGGTGGCGTGTGGAGAAGCGGGTAATGTAGCGTGCGACATTAAGTCGGAGGAGGAGGACTACGCAGTCGAGGACTACGCCGCGCCGCGCTGCGCCACGCCGTCCAGGCGGGCTGCCCGCCGCACGGCGAGGCGTGGAGGGTGGCGGGTGACACGTCACGTCACGGCGCTCTCACTGCCCGCCGCCTCCGCGCTAGTCGATGTTTTCAAAACATCTATGTATTGAAACCGATGTTTTTTGAACATCGATGTTTTCGGTTCACTGTTTTACGTTTAAAATAAGCAACAATAACTGATGGTACGAATGTCTGTTTATATTCGACAGAAAGGAACGCGCTTGTTCTATCTTCATTGAGCTGACTACCATCCCTTGCTCGAGACGATACTGATGGCCTGGTATTTCCTTCGTCTTCCCTGTATTTCGTACATGGAGGGACGCATAACTTTCATTTTAGTTAAATTTTAATTAAAAATTAATAAGCACGGCCATTCTCGAATTAAATTTTGTTGCGCACTA